CTCTCTCTCTCTCTCTCTCTCTCTCTCTCTCTCTCTCTCTCTCTCTCTCTCGCTCTTTCTTCTTCACCTTTCCTTTACTTTCTAGGTGAAAACAAGAGCTCTAGGTTAATATTCAGCCTGTTATAGCATATTATGGGGGAAAACCGAAAAAAAACTCTTATCGTTGAAATGTTTCCTTTGGCGTAGTATGAATATAATAACCAAACATTTTTTTTTAAAGAACAGACGAAATAAAAGCCAATCCCCTGAAGATACACACAACAGGTCGGGGATAATTAAACCCATAGAAATGAAATGCTTCTTACATAATTCGTGGACAAAATGGATAATTTCCCCCCTTTTCATCAAAAGAAATAGTAGACCATGCATCATAATATTGTGGTTTCAGTTAGAGGAGTAATTGGACGTGTGAGTTATCACGTCATAGCACGAGGCTTCAAGAGAGATTTTATGGCACATTTAGTTTTCTTTTTTTTCTGTTGTACAGCAGTCTTGCTGTATGCAGCAACGTCTCCAGGTAAAGAGATTTTTACGATTTTGTGCTTTCTGAATATTATGATGATTCTATAATACAATATAAACGCCCTGCTTTTTTACACTTGGGTAATATCGTCGTCGAAAAGTTCAGATCCAACGTCATGACACCGGGCAATGGAGAAAAAATTCCAGTAAGGAATAGAAAATAATAATTAAAAATGAGACTCTACTCTAAAATTCGAACCATGAATTACTGCGTCTAGGCTATGTTCGCCGTCAATTTCAGCCCACGCCTGTAGGCTCTCCTGTCAGGACTGAATTCGACAGAAATATGGACATGGACAGCCTGAGCATTGCATTGTCAAAGAATTGGCCAATGAACTGAGTCATAAATAGTTAATTCTTTTTCTTACTGAAGTAAGACAATCAATTGAAGTTGAATTTACGTTTTTAAGTTAAAATATGTGTCTCAAGTAATCACAATGGTGTAGAGCGTTGTCTATCTTTAACTCGTGCATCTACCTCGAAATAATGAAACCCGATACAGCATATCATATTTATAGTTTCGATAAGAGTTTGTCTCTATGTTGTTTTGTTGTGGCCCTCACAACGCCATGACAGAGCTGGGTGGAGTCAAGCCAGATGGTTTCTCAACAAGCTCCGCCTCTCTGACAGCTCCAAGTCTCCCTGATTGGTGGGCTGGCGTGAGGTAGGCGTGTACACCGAGTGAGGCTTTTCCCAACGCGTGCATCCCATAGGCTTCCATGAAGGGATGGGACTTGAGAGGTTCAGGTGCCACAGCTGGGAAAAGGGCTGAGAAAGGATGAGGCCAACCCGTGCTGGGAAATCCCAGAGGGAGAGACAGGCCCTTAGATGACGGACTGTTAGGGATATTCATTGGGTGGGCGTTTCCCATCCCGAATTGTCCGTTGAAATAGTTCATAGCAGGCGGAAGGATACCCCTTGTCATCGCTGCCTGTCGTGCTGAATTTGTGAGGCTCTCATTTAGTGCATTCCCTGACGGGGAAAAGGAATAGGCATTTGCGAATGGGATCATTAGAGACTTTGAGGTTTGAGAATTCCGTGACGTCAATGTTTGCTGGTCTGACATGATCTTGTGGTCGAATCCAGCCTTAGATGAATTGGAATTGACGCACTGGTTTATGTTCATACGATCTGTATTTACGTAAAGAGGACTTTTAGAAACACCGGGAGCTGGATCAATTTCTGATCGATTTTTCTCTTTACTAGACAGCGGTAGGGAACTCAGTGAAAAACTGATATTGTTCTTGTTGTTACTGCTGTTGGTGTTGGTGTTGGTGTTGGTGTTGTTGTTGTTGTTAGAGTTGCTGGCACTGCCATGAACTGAGCTGGTTGTTGCTGCTCGAGGGTGTCTCTTTTCCGGGAAACCTCCACGGGCAGATCTTTCGTCTTGCCCTTCTGCAAGCGACGATGAGTCCATGGGAAAAGGCTCACAACTACTTTTGACCCCAGTAACCAGACGCTCATCGGGCGACATGCACGAGTCTCTGCTGTCCTCATCAGATTCCTCCTCCATGACGTCACTGTCTAGATTCTTGGTGTCTGCCGTATCTCCACTGCTGGAAGATCGGGTGAAGTTCTTGGCCGAGTATTCCTGCGCGCGGGCTCTCAGCGCTGCAATACTCTCGGACCGGAAGTCGTCAACCTTCTTGTCGTCTGACGTCACCGGCATACTTCCGTTTGGTGTTCCTCCCTCATCGTCTGGTGCGGAAGAGTCAGAATCGCCCGACTTGGAACCGGTGGACTCAATAGACTTTCTGTACATACCTGAAAAATTGTCTGCTCTTAGTCAGGGGCCAGAGCAAGGGGCAAGCAGTAGAGTTGTAAAAGCTGAATATCGTCAGTTGTATAAGACTGATGCCTACATCTCTCTTAGCTGAATGAAAACTTAGGAAATTATGCTCGCTCTATAATATACACATTACGCATATGTCTTTCCATAAAACTCCTTCCGATTTAATTGATTAAAAAAATAGTCATGCCTCAAGTCGTCTTTATTAGATAAAAACGAAGTTATGTTTATTGCTTTTCTCCTCAGCGTTTTGCAATAAAAGCTTTTTCTTATACAAATGACGATATTTTATGCTAATTCTATAATGATCATCAATCTATTTACTCACATAAAACAATAACTTACAGAATAACTTTTTCTTGATTAAACTGAAAAAGCATGAAAGGAAAACTTCAAAAAAATTCAAGTATGAAAACTAATTAACAGGGGGGCTCTGACGACCCAGATATGCAACAAGAGTAAAAGTGCAAACGATGAGAAGTAAATTTCTTTTTTCAATGTAGGTGTTTTTACACCTTCAGCGACATAATGTATGCATTAATGAGACGGGCTTATAACCCTCTCTGTTAGGGCCAACCTGTGCTGAGAGGGATACAGCATCCAAGCAGAATGAACGGAGATACTTGATTGAAATTTCCTCCCCACTCCGAAATCGAACTCAGGTTTCCAGCCTGCGATAGCGAAGTTTCTAACCACTACACCACAGACGCCGGTGGTAAACCCAGAGCACACTACACAAGGCTTTAAGGACAGGGACTTACTCAGCAGCCACGGAGCAGAGGACTCGAGAACGCCCTCCTTGGCACTCTTGATGATGGTCTCCGGCAGTGGCAGCGAGTGTCTGACCATGGCCCCATACAGGCCGTACTCCGCCATGATAGAACTCCGGCCCCAAGTCTTCTCCGTCTTACGCCACTTGGCTCGACGGTTCTGGAACCACACCTGAGTAGCGGGGGAAAAACAGAGGGAGAGTTAGAAAAACAGGGAGAAAAGGGAAGCAAAAGAGTTGAGGTGGGACTGATAGGGAATAAGAAAAAGGTAGAAAGAGACATGGGGAAGAGAGAGGGCGACAGAGCGAATGGGGAGGGAAAGAGAGAGATAGAGAGAGAGAGACAGACAGACAGACAGACAGACAGACAGACAGACAGACAGACAGACAGACAGA